TTTTCTTTAGAATTATTTGAGTATGCCTCTCTTTTTAAAATGGTTATTTTTCTGTCTTCTCTCTAACTAATTTCCAAAAATTAACGAATAAATCCCAAATGCTGACAAAGAATTTTTGAAAACTCAACAAATTGTTTAGAAAGTAAAACCCAGAAATCCTTGGAATGCAAAATCCTACAGAAATTCAAACCCAAAAACACCAAATCTCAATCATAGAAATCTAAACAAATCAAACCCAAGACCTAGAACTTCTTGGTTGATAAACAAACTTTTTTTTTCTCTCCAAAGTTTCTGCATAATCTCTTTTTTTTTCTCAAGAGTTTTTTTTTGCCTTTTTTTTCTCTTTTAAGAGTTTTTTTTTTTTTGCATAATCTTCTTTTTTTCTCTTGCTTTGATCACAGGTTTATATAGAGGTTCATGCTCAATCAATTCTCCTTAAATCCATGATTTTGTTTGATTTTCGTCTTAATGAGAATTAATTTTGAAATCAAATCCCAAAAATCTCTCCATATCATTTTAATGTGAATTGATTATGGAATTAAATCCTGACAATCTCTCCACATCAAATGTCAACTGATTCTGGAATTAAATCCCAAAAATCTATTTCTATCATTTTAATGTGAATTGATTATGGAATTAAATCTTGACAATCTCTCAACATCAAATGTCAATTGATTTTGAAATTGAATCTCAAAAATCTCTCAACTACGATTAAATTCCGAAAAAATGTTCTCGAACAAAATGGGGTGTCTTCATTATTTAACATACATTGTCATTATTTTATTTTTGGATATATATAAATCAATGATAATATCATAATGAATAATTTTTACCTTAGTAATTAATCATTGAAAACTTAAATGTAATTAATACAACTTAGTCGTAATCATTGATAATTTAGTAATAAATTAATAATAATTTAATAGTAAATGAATAATAATTTAGTAGTTAATACTTGATAACTTTTTAGTAAATCAATAATAATATAATAATAAATACATAATTAAATCAATTATAATATAATTATAAATGTATAACAGTACTAAAGTAAGAATAACTTAACAAAAAATAAGTGACAAATTAATAGTTAATTATTGATAACTTAGTAATAAATAAATGATAATTTAATAGTAAATTAGTGATAATTTAATAGTAAATCAGTTTCAGTTTAATAGTAATTAATTGATAGTAGTTATTAATTGAAAACTTAAAACTAAATCAGTATAACTTAGTAGTAAATTATCAATAACATAATAACTAATCAATGATAACTTAATAGTAAATTATACATATCTTGAGTTATAAACGAATACCAATACTTTAAAGTGGTTATTTCTTGTTTTGCACTCTACTCACTAATTTGATCATATCTTGAGTTATATAAATCTAAATCATAAACCGTTTGAAGATTTAGAAACTAGACTTAAAGGGCTTTCTATCTATATAAAATTCATCACCTAATTCATTGATTACAAATTATAGTGAATTTTCAAAATTACACATTGTGTAGTTTTCTGACAACTACAGAGTGTCTAGTAAAAATTCAAAATCTTTTCTTAGAAAATTTGGATTTTGATTTTGTTTCATCCATTAGAAAGTAGACTCAAAGAGCTTTCCAACCATATAAATTTTAAATATTAAGACTTTGTGAATTAATACAGAAAAATAAAACAAATTCAATGTTGGAAAACTTTATTCTTGTAAAACAGCTTCCTTAAGTTAATTTATTTCTCAAAACCAATATTATTAAAATTGTATTAAGTCTAAAATGAATAAGTTCACTTTAAAAATAACAATTGGACTTTCATTTAAGCTCAAATAAATAATCTTTAAAGATAGATTTGGTTTGAGATATATGACACCAAGAAAGGTTTGTTTAAACTTTGAAAATCATATTATTTATTTAGTACCAAAATATAAAACTTAAGAACATGTACTAAATAAATCCTTTTTCAAAATCTTGATCAACTTTATTTAGCTTTAATGTTTTGTCATTTCAAAATAATGATCAATTCAAGGCTAACATACAATATAGTTAATATATTAAAACAAAAAATTGAAAAGCAAAAAATAGAGAAAAAATGCTTAAATGACTTAATTATAATTATTTTTAATAAATTTATTTATCAACATAAATTATATATACAATTATTTTTACAACAACCAAAAAAACAAACTTCATATAATTGTTTTATTCCTATGCACATTAAGCTTTTATATAATTCTATTTGTATTTTCATTTAATGTAAAAAATCATTTTACTTATGAAAAAGAGTTTAATAATAAAAATAAAATCTTTTAAATTAAAATTTATGAAAAATTACTAATGGTATTTTCAAAATTAAAATTTTATTAAGAGTTTAGTTAATCACTTTTAATACTTTTTTAGTCTAATTATAAAAAAAAGTCTAATAATAAAAAATTCATTTAAATTAAAATTTATAAAAAAATTTACTAAAGATATTTTAGTCAATTACTCTTAACATTTAAAATTAAAATTTTAAGAAGTTTTATTTCTCATAAGCTTTATTTTTAATTACATTTGATTTAAATTAAAGTTAAATAAATTAATAAAAGTTATATATTTAAAGATGAATTTGTTAATTTAAAAATTTATAAAAATATTTAAGTCGATCACTATTAATGATTTTAGAGTTCACATTTTTATATATAGATATAAATAAATAGAGAGGTAAATATAAATGATATATATATATATATATATATATATATATATACATATCAGTTAATGATAGCAAAGTACATAGTTCAATCCTTGCTTAACAATCACATTGAAACACACAAAGACAAATAACAAAAATAAAGTATAAATTGCACCCAAACATTTAATTCAATGATTGATGTGTGATTTCTTATACCTTGAACAGGATTTTTATCCACTTTCCCGAAGTTAAAAAGAAGTACAAATTGATTGAAAAGAAACACAAACAAACAAATATATACTAGCGAGTTCTGACAAATTTGAAATAAGGTAGAAATTAAAGTCAATTGCTCTCCACATATAGCTGAAACGACCAATTTTAGATTTGATACCCTTAATTGCTTTGGAACTTTGTCCCCTCTCCTCGGATAGCTACTTCTTTCGGAACAAGATTTTGCAATGCAAGGCTTTTATTCTCATCATGAGCAGCAGTAACATCATGTTGAAAATAACCCTTTTTCCAATTCTCAAACAAGGCTTGTTTCAAACAGGCCACATGGTAACAGAACTTGCCATCCGAATTAAAAAACACAGGACTTTGCCTGGTGATGTTTTCCTGCTTTGGCATTTAAGGAAATTTTCAATTTAATCTCATTGCAAAGGTATTTTCCATGTTCGTGGAAGGTTTGTGCAACAGGGATGTAAATCATGGGGATATTCATGGGAACATTGTTACACGAAGCCTTGAAATTATTAAGAATTGAATCCGAGAACTAAGTGTCTAGTACGCTACAAACAAAGCCATCCTCAAAGTGAAAATAAAAAACAAGCTTTCATTTTGATCATTTCCTGGACCTTTCATACATGTTAGATTTAGCATAAACTTGGCTATAATCAACAATTAAAACAATTGTTACAAGATACATATAAATATATATAGGTAATATAAATGGAACCAATTAAAATCAGGATATAATTAACCTTCTATAAGCAGACCAACAAAGTTGGATATGATTTTATCCAAAGGAAAATCTTTTATACACAAGAGATATAATTAAAGCTAGAGTTTCAAACTCTTAGTTTTAATGGCCGAATTCAATTCTTGACAGCCTCAAACTCAAAATAAAAAATTGGAGTCTTATGCTGGAATGTAGATGAAAGAGCCCTAAATGAGAGTATTTATATACAAAGCTCTACATCAAGACCGGACTTCTCAAGCAATCCTAGCCTTTTTCATCTGTTATTTCTTTCCCCGTTCCACGTTAATTTTTTCTCATTAAGTCCACGTAACAAAGATTAACAACCATAACTAGAAATTTCCCTGTTACCTTGATTTAGTTTTCAATTAGAACATAATAAACGATTCTGCTAGGTCTGTTCCAGCTTAATTAATGGATCGAGGTTTCCTTTGCTTGTTTTTTATAATCCAAAAAGACATTAGATTAACAAGTTATGGGAAAGTGAAAGAGGGGATGTATTGAGAAAAATCCGAGAACTTTTTGTCGCTTAAAAAACATTAAATTAATAAGCTAGTAGTATTAAAATTGATCAAGTCAACAATTTAATCATTTTAAAACTTAATTTGAATTTAAAATTTTCAAGTTGATCCGTTTTATCAAGGAATATGTAGGGTTCTTCCTTTTTTCCATGTACAGATTAGAAAAAACCGTAAACGACATGCTTTCAAGATTAAAAGAACAATATACATGGTTACCAGTTCCTTCGTCGGTAAGAGAGAAATAAGAAGGAAGAAGGAAAATGAGAATTTGCGCTTTTTTTTCTTTCAAAATTTAATTTTTCTAAATGTAAGAGCAAAACACTCGTTAAACTTAAATTAACAACAAAGAAAAAAATAATTTTCTTTCGTCTTTTCTTTCATCAAAATTTTTTTCCTTTTTATTTTCTTTCCTTCCTATCAAACTATAAATGAAATAGAAATGCCAAAATACCTGGAAAGAAGCAAAGTGATGATCAAGCTTTTTAAAAAATTTTTTGTTTCTGGAAAGGCCGAAAAAAAGCAACATATTCATTTTAATTGTTGGTTCAAATTACAAAAAATATTTATTAATAATAATAAAGCTTTATTGCCGCACTGACAACACACTAAGAAAAAATTTTACTCGAGCATTTGGCTTAATTATTGGTGCATGAGCAGGATTCTAATCCTTGCACTTAAATTTTAAAAAAAAAGTGTACCCAAATCGATAAGAGCCCACGCACAAACAAATATAAAATAACTAGTTCTGATAAATTTGTAACAAAGTAGAAAATAGAGTAAATGGCTCTCCAAATATAGCTGAAACGACCAGCTTGAGAAATATGATCAACCATTTGATACCCTTCATAGCATTCGAGCTTTGGCCCCCATCTCGGACGAGAGCTACTTCTTTTGGAGCAAGATTTTGTAATGCAAGGCTTTTATTCTTATCATCAGCAATAGCATCAGGTTGAAAATAACCCTTTTTCCAATTCTCAAGGCAGGCTTCTTTTAAGCAGGCTACATGGTAACAGAACTTACCATCCCGAGAAGCATAGGACAAACCCTGGACTTTGCTTGCTGATCTTTTCTTGCTTTGGCATTTTAAACATTTCGATTTAATCTCTTCGCATAGGTAGATTTCCATGTCGTTATCCGGGAAGGAGAAGAACAGTGGAAGGTTTGCGCAACAGGGATGTAAATCATGGGGATTTTTAACACGGGAGCATTGGTACAAGAAGCCTTGTATATCCAAGGCACAGGCGTCGCAGGATCTGTCTCCTCCTAGTGGATTTTCCTTGTGAAATTTGAAGTCGCATCTTTTGAAAAATTTCTGGCACGCTGGAGGCCGACGAATCCCACATTCCTCATGAAAAATGAAATCACAATCCTTATCGGGACATTGGTAGCAAACTCCAAACCCTATCTCTTTGCAACCATCGCAAAAGAAAGGAACTTGGCTCCTTTTCAACACAAGCTGATGTGGGTGGTCATCTCCATCGTATAGTGTTAGCAGTGATGGCATCTTTTTCTAACTGATTCTTGCTGGCGTTTCTGCAAAGACAAAGATTGAATTGGATATAATATCATGTATACTTTTATATGTTAAATGAATATTTATATTTGATCAACTTGATACAAGGAAATAACTTTATACAAGGAAATATATGAAAGAATACTATGTTTTCTATAGTCCTAGAGTATTTTTTTTTGGTATTTAAAACCGTCATGAATTGAGGCACCGGAATAAGAGTCTAGTTCAATACCAAGTAACTGGTGGCAATCTTAAACTCAAGCAAAACTCAAATTGAAAATAAACAACAAGCTATCATTTTAATCATTTCTTACACCTGTCATATATGTTAGATTTAACATAAACTTGGCTTTAATTAACAACCAAAGCTATTGTCACAAGATATATATATATATATATATATCTTTCACACACGAGATAGAATTAAAGCTAGAATCTTACCAACAGTCAAGTGTTGAACTCTGGAAAGCTTCAAATACAGAAAAGAAAGTTGGAGTCTTGATGTAGGAATGGTGATGAAAGAGCCCTAAATGAGAGTATTTATACACAAATCTCTGCGTTACTGCCTGACTTCTCAAGCAATCCTAGCCTCTTTCATTTGTTATTTCTTCCCCAATTCCGCGTTAATTTTTTCTCATTAAGTCTACGTAACAAAGATTAACAAACACAACTAGAAATTTCCCTGTTGAATAATTTTCTAAGTAATGCGGTTAAGCCTTGATTTAGTTTTTGATTAGAATATAATAAACTAGTCCGCTAGGTTTGTTCCAGCTCAATTGGATCGCGGTTTCCTTTGGTTTGCCTTTTATAATCTAAAAAGACATTAAATTAATAAGTTATGGAAAAATAATTTTTTATGACTTCATTAAACCTATTTAGACTTTGATAGATCCAAATATAGACCAAACAATATGAAATATGATACAGTGATACGATACAAAAACGATACGAATAAAAGATAGGAGATAACACAATTTGAAATTTTAAAAAAATCATAAGTAGGTTTAATAAAATCAAAATTTTATATTTTATATTTTCATATCGACATGAATTGTGACACGCGATTTTCATGTAAAACATAATAATAATATAATATTTTACACGAAATGATAACACGAATTAACAGATCTATCCAAGTAGAGAATATATTGAGCAAGTCTTTGTCGCTTAACAAAGAAGAAGACATTAAATTAATAAGCTAGTAGTATGAAAATTGATCAAGTCAACAATTTAATCATTTTAAAACTAAATTTCAATTTAAAAATTTCAAGTTCATGCGTTACATCAAGGAATGTGTAGGGTTCTTTCTTATTTATATGTACAGTTTAGAAAAAACCGTAAATGACATGCTTTTAAAATTAAAAGAAGACTATGTCAAAAGGTGAGACCACATCGTTGACTCACTCCCACAAAAAAAACATATATTTAGGGAGACCTGTTTACAATAAAAGTATTCTTTTTGTCAATATCATATTTGATGGAATTAGATTGATATACATGGTTACCATTTTTTTGGATATCAATTTTATCTAAATTCGACTGGAAATCCGATTTTCTATCTTAATGGGAATGGATATAAATATTAAATTTTGGAGATAAAGTTGGAGATAAGTATGGTTTGAACTATTTTATTAGATATAAGTATGGGGATGAGTAATATAGCATTTGTCTCATGCTTGTACCATATATATTTAATAAAATAATTTTTATTTTTTATTAGAACTAATATATTTGTATTTAAAAATACATATTTAAAAAAATTTTATTTTAATGTGTAAGACAAAAATAAAAAATTTTTTTTTTTATTTTAAAAAAAAGCTATATATACAGATATTACTTATACTCATTAAATACCATGGGAATAAGAGTGAGAATGAATTTAAAATACACATTGAGTGTAGATACAATGATAGACATAATAAAAAAAAAAAATTAAGGATGATTAAGAATGCTCTACCCACCCCATATTCTTCCTATTGACATTTCTAACTATTTTTTCATCCTTAAGAGAGAAATAAGGAGGAAGAAGTAAAATGAGTGAATTTCGTGTTTCTCTTCTCTTAAAATTCTTTTTTTTTTTTTCTCAAATGCAAGAGTAAAACACTCATTCAATTTAACTTAACAACAAAGAAAAAAATAATTTTCTTTCCTCTCCTTCCTCTTTTCTTTCATTTTTTTTTTGTTTCTTTTAATTTTCCTCCTTCCTATCAAACATATATAATGTAAATGAAATAGAAATAGAAATACCAAAATACATGGAAAAATTTTAATTTTTTGGAACGTCCAAAAAAGCAACATATTCATTTTAATTCTTGAGTCAAATTACAAAACTATTTAATAAAGCACAAAGTTCAAGCGCAAAGCTTTATTGCCGATCCTTGTTCTTAAATTAAAAAAAAAAAGTACCCAATTTAATAGGAAAGATAACAGGGAAGAGCCTACAAACAAACAAATATATGATTACTAGTTCTGATCATAAATTTGAAACAAAGTAGAAATTAAAGTCAATGGCTCTCCAAATATAGCTGAAACGACCAGCTTGAGAAATATGATCAACCATTTGATACCCTTCATTGCATTCGAGCTTTGGCCCCCATCTCGGACGACAGCTACTTCTTTTGGAGCAAGATTTTGCAATGCAAGGCTTTTGTTCTCATCATCAGCAATAACATCAGGTTGAAAATAACCCTTTTTCCAATTCTCCAGACAGGCTTCTTTCAAGCAGGCTACATGGTAACAGAACTTACCATCCCGAGAAGCATAGGACAAACCCTGGACTTTGCCTGCTGATCTTTTCTTGCTTTGGCATTTTAAGCATTTCGATTTAATCTCTTCGCATAGGTAGATTTCCATGTCGGTATCCGGAAGGGAGAAGAACAGTGGAAGGTTTGCGCAACAGGGATGTAAATCATGGGGATTTTTAACACGGGAGCATTGGTACAAGAAGCCTTGTATATCCAAGGCACAGGCGTCGCAGGATCTGTCTCCTTCTAGTGGATTTTCCCTGTGAAATTTGAAGTCGCATCCTTTGAAAAATTTCTGGCATGGCGGAGGTCGACGAATCCCACATTCCTCATGAAGAATGAAATTGCAATCGCTGTTGGGACATTGGTAGCAAAGTCCAAATCCTAGCTCTTTGCAACCGTCGCAAAAGAAAGGAACTTCGCTCTTTTTCCACTCAAGCTGATGTGGGTGACCATCATCGTTCAGTTTTAGCAACGTTGGCATCTTCTTGTTCGCTTTTCTGCAAAGACAAATATTCACTTGAATAATTTATTAAAAAAATAAGCTTGAATTGATTATAATTTGTACGTTTATATGCTATTCGAATACATTAATTTGATCAACTAGATGCGAAGATATATATGTAAATAATATTATTTGCATTCATGGTGTATAAAATTCAAATTTTAAATTTGTAATCAATAAAAAATGCTTCAAATTCATCCATTCTGTCATTTGTAATAATGATAATGGGTCAAGTCATGACAAGTTTTTAGTTGCCACAATTCTGACCTAAATTAAAAAATATATACTCTAATTTAATATTAAAATATTATTTTTTCATATTCAATCTAATCTAATCCGCATGTGTATAAAACAACAAACAATTCAAAATTAATAAAATATTATTTTAATATAAATATAAATATATATAAATTTAAATTTAAATAATTAATAAAAATATTATATATACAAAATCGAGCTAAATTGGATTTGCTTACAATCCAACACTGACCAATTCTTTTTTTTAATTCAAACCTAACATAAAATCTAATTTTTAAAAAAAATTAATTTTATAAGGTCGAATCCAATCAAAACCCACGAACAACATAAATTCAAGTCAACAACATAAATTCGGATCAAAAAATTATCGACCACATGGACACTCAAGTATCCGAATCCACTTATTTTTGCCACACATAACATTGAAGTGGATTTCATTTAGTTGAATTAAAGATCAATAATGAAAATAAAATATTACACAAAAATCATAAATATATTACCTTGATTAATTAGATACAAAGAAATATAAATGTTTATCTGATCGGTGAAGACTCAAAGACGCAAGAGATATAATGAAAGCTAGAGTGGAAGGAATATTTGAGGAATGGAGATAAAAGAGGCCTAAGTATTTATAGCAAAAATTCTTTGCATAACCGCGTGATTGCTACCCATATAACTTGCAATTCTCTTCCATTTGTTTACTCTAATTCTACCATTCCGCGTCATTTTTTTCTCATTATGCTAGAAACAGATTAAATCACACAATTAAAGGTTTATTATTGTTGTATGTGTGGAATCGTAATAAAATTATTTAATTTAAAATTAATTGATTGGTATATAACATTATAGTAAATCAAAGATTTAATCAGGTCAAGAATTTTTCTTTTAAGCCATCCACATATAATATATATAAAAAATTATCAACTTAGTTACTATTTGTTAACGAAAAGGGTATCCATGAAAAAGTTTTGAGGTGTTAAGGAAAATTTTTTCTTTTAAATTTATTTTTATTTTTCAATTTTTTAGATTGTCCATACTAAACGTAAATCCGCTTCTAGAATTAATAAATCTGAAATAATATTATCTTAATAGACTCTATCGCAAATAAACATAATATTATGTGACAAACTCAAAAATGGTACAAAGTACAAATTAGTAAACAAAATTCGATTCTGATATCATATTAAAGCATTTAATTTGATTAAAATCAATTGGTTATAAATAAAATAACCCAATTTAAATATAAAACGATAAAAAATTGAAAATCTAATAGACGTGGGATAATATTAAGCTAACAACTAAATTAAGTTTTTAATTAGAATATGATAAATTATTCTTCTAGAATTATTCCATTTAATTATATGGAGGTTTCCTTGCTCTATTTTTTCTAATAAAAAAGGAATTAAATAATTATATTCAGTTTACTATTAAAATTTAAGTCAACAATGTTATTTAAAACTTTCTGTTTAAATTTTCCAATTTGA